ATACCCCTTTTCACACAAAACCCTATACCTCTCTTCACATCAAACCCTAACCCTAGCCGCCAGACCCACACCCCCATCAGAGAAGAAGAACCAGTCACCGGGAAGGGAGCTGATCGCCTCCTGCTGTCATGCTGGAGCCACCTCCGACCGCCAAAAGATTTGTTCCTCCGCGTGTGGACGAACCGGGTACGTAAGGAACCCTACCATAAACGTTGCCTCATACCGAACGTAATATCAAAGATTTATACTTTGGCACTCATACCGGACGGGGTATGGGGGACGACCCGTTTCACTCTTATACCAGACAGAGTATTGAGAGATGATATTTTTTGGCATTCATACCGGACGGGGTATAGGGAAGACCCGTTAATTGAAAATGTTGAATAAAATGTTTACGCGTAGTAGAGACCTCCCTATGGACCCTTATAGATACCAGTAGGCTGATAAAAGTGAAAGTTGTTGTTCCAACTGATTGAATATGAGATTATGATATTGTTTATGTTATTGACTCTATATGTCAGTTTTTGAAAATCTCGCTACGGTAAGTATGCGATAAATGATTTTATTCATGATAAACGAATTTACTTAAATTAAGAGCTCAATTAGTTATTTTTATGATTTCTACCAATCTTAATTTCTGTGTCGAAGAGTAGTGTGACATTATTAATGGACTAGTATAACTCACTATTTTGTTAACTATTTTAGATCAAGATGATCAAAATCCAGATCCCGATTCACAAGAGGGTTGCGAGTAAAACATTCAGTTTGTTTACTTTTTAAGTATTCTGAATTATTGTGTAAAAAATATAACCCCTAACGCTATTATTTCGCTGCTACACTTAATTTATAATTCACTTTCTTTCAAGTTCCGGGTCGTTACATTCATACAAAGATCAAAACCTATTTTGTTTAATTAAAAGATGATAGAAATTTCACCTGACAGGCCAGAATATTGATTTTATAATGTAAGTTATTGTTTGGATAAACCCTAGCCAGCATTTTTCTTTTGACAAAAAAATCCTGTTTCCTGGGTGCCCAACAGGCCAAAATTGAACTTCTGCAACTGTCTCAATCCTAAATTGTTCCTCACAATCACTCAATGAAGAAAACCTAAACAGCATCTGCAACCTCAAATTGGGGCAGATTCAAGGGTGAAGTACTGAATTGGTCATGGCTGCTCTCATGCCAATCTAAAAAGTTAAGATTCATCATAAATTGCCCAGAGTTTGGTCGGGTTAAACTCAGCATCCAAACCCAGAATAAGAAAGTTTGATACCAACCTGGAAAATTACATTGTTGCAAGTTAACAATGTTAAAATCAATGTGAAAGAGTTTTTTCCTTTGTTCTTTTTGAAGAGGAAAAGTTGCATCAAACCCAATTCGCAGGTCTCTGATTCACTGATAGGCCATACCGGTTTTGACATTCTTTGTGATCTTAGAGCAGAATAACTGAAATGCACCAGACTAATAATTCATAGCAGCTACTTTAGTGTACAAGGAGGAAGAAAAGGAAATTACAGCCTTCTACCTTCAAATCCATCTTTATACCAAGGAACAATCCCGTGCATCAGTTTTCTAATTACTTTTTCCTCTTCCAATTTACAGTTTCAGCATACTATAGTGAAAATAAAAGGATCTCAAACATTGTTAAATGGTACAACCTTGCCATCTTCATCACCCACTGTGCTTTAAGCCTCTATCACACAGACCTACTGTCATACCTTTGATCCAAGGAAAGACTGCAAGAAATGGAAAAAATCTAAATCGTTAGCAGTGCACATGCAGTATAAAATCAAGAACATTGTCAATAATGACAACCATTGTGACACCCCTATGGCCGAAAAGTACAGTCACAATAATCTGATAAGGTGAACCACTATATAGAAAAGTTAACAAAGGTAAACACTTTAGTGCATGCAATGACTACTACTACATTAGCACACCTAGGTTAGAAACCTCAGTGATGCACAAAAGAAGAGGTATGGATTTACTTTAACTCCTGCAGGAGAATTTCCTGGCTTTGCAGTAGTTGTGCTCCCAAAAATATTATTAACACTCACAGAAGCATTTCCGGACTTAGTTGTTGTTGTGCTCCCAAAACCAAACTTTGGCTTCTTATCCGCAGGCTTTAATATTTGGAATGAGCACATAAGCGTATCATCCACACTCATCATAGCACCAGCATTGTCGAACTCCCCACAATAATTGGGCGCTGAAAATATAGTTACAAGTTGTCTGTCAGCAAAGAACTCGTATCCGTCCTCTACAACCTGCAAGTGATTTGTAGAAATAATCAAACAAATTAATGATGCAACTGCAGAAGTTGATGAGAAGCTGCATACTACAAACTAAAAACAGTACACAATGGGTCAAAAGGTGCCACGACCAATCAGGGTCAGAATCACTGTAAAACAGAGGAGAAAAGGGATTGAACATCAGAGGCTCATAATCAACTTGAGGATAAGATAATGAAGTACTAAAATCTTGAATTTCTACAAACTGGCTTTAACTCCTCTTCCTGTCATAATTTACAGTCCTGATGGCATAAATATTTTTCAGAAAGGCGAGTAGGATGAGACACTGCAAACTCATAATAGAACTTTGAGAAATATAATAAACCAATATGACAGGCAAAACCTGGTGTGCCCGACAAATCAGATCCAGATCATGCTTCTGAAGGAACTCCGAGACCTTGTCAGGGCCAAAAGTAAATGAGACTCCCCTGTCATTCATACCCCAACCTTGAATATCTCTGCTGGGATCCGACCAGAGAAGATCACAGAGCAGCCCTGTGTCAGGTACATCAGTTGGGCGTTGTAAATTTCTGATCTGGTCCAAGTCATTCAGGTCAGGAGAAAGACCTCCATGCATGCAGAGAATCTTCTCATCAATCAGGGCAGCCACCGGCAAGCAGTTAAAACAATCTATGAATGTCTTCCATACCCTGACATTAAATCTTCTCTTGCACTCATCATAAAAACCATATATACGGTTTATAGAAGCACATTCATGGTTCCCCCTCAGTAGGAAAAAATTTTCAGGATATTTTATTTTATACGCGAGAAGAAGACATATTGTCTCAAGACTTTGCTTGCCTCGATCCACATAATCCCCCAAAAATAAGTAATTGGCATTTGGAGGAAAACCGCCATATTCGAAAAGCCTTAAAAGATCAGAATACTGGCCATGAATGTCACCTGAAAATTACATAACTAGCTTTAAGTATTAAGACAAAATATCTCCCCCTCTAACAGACAAATCTTTATTAGTTACATGCTAGAACTTACCTTACGGAGACACAGCAAATCAGCAAAAAGAAGATTTAAAAATTTTACCCGTCACTTACTTGCAGGAGCAAATCAGCCCCAACATTCAGCACAGGACATCTTCAGGCAGAAGACTGAATTATCAATAAATTGGTAGGGACACAAAACACAGAAACCAGGACTTGATCACACATCAAGCATGTCTCTAACTCAAAAAATATCAGGCTCTCATCACAAATCAAGCATGTCTAACTCAAAGCTTCTAAAGGACAAATCTTTAGTAGTTGCACACTAGAAACTTAACCCTATGCACATGCAGCAAATCAGCAAAAAGAATCCTTAAAGATTTTGGGGGTGGCTTGCTTGCAGGAGCAATTCAGCCCCAATGTTCAGCAGAACATCTTCAGATAGAAGACTGAATCATTAATAAATAGGCAAGTACATGAAACATAGAAAACAGGGCTTGATCACACATCAAGCATGTCTTTAACTCAAAACCATCAGAAAGGGTTGGAATCAAAGTGAAACTTCTTGCACAAACATCTCTATGCTGTTGAATCTAGCTTTTAATACTTCAGCATTATGAGCCTTAAACAAGTTGGTTATCAGTGGAAAAGCACAGTTCTAAATTAAAATGAAGATTTTGACACAAACCATCCCAAATGAAGAACATTCCCAAAAAATATATTGGGGAAATTGTATTCACCTTATCCAATGGAATTGCTTTTTATACAATCTCTTAAAGTTAAAGGTTAGATCAAAGAAAGATGAACTCCTGATTATTTTATCTAACATGCTGATTAATGGACACCTTTGGGGGGTTCTAATTTATAAAAAAAAAAGA